GTCTTGTATATTTTCCACACACAAAACACTCAAGAATCATTTCCTTCTTCGTATCAAAGTAGCAAAATGGCTTTCTCTTTATTTCTCTCGTTTTTCTCTGTTTAAAGCTTCTGTGTGGACAAAAGCACTTCATACAAACTATATAAAAAAAAGAAGAAGAAGAAAGAAAAATCAATCACTTGTCTTCTCCGTACATGACATTGTAACAGGGAGGTGACTTAACAGCAGGTAGCAGCACAACTCTAAGGCAAAAAATGAACGTCAAATATATTATTTCTGAGTTCAGTTTCCATTTTAAGGACAGTCCCGGTTTTCTTATTCACAGGTACCCGGCCTCTATAAGCCTGCTTTGCAGTGCGCACACAGACGCTCATTATATTCTGGGCAAAAAGAATTTCATTCATTCACGATGGCAGCAACAGACCAATATACACGAGTAACCACATTTCCAACAAGCTCACACTGTAAAAAAAAAAAAACAGATTCCAAAGTAAACCCAACATGCTGTATTTTGTTTTGTCACACCAGAATAAACTATATTATGTTGGATTTAACCAGAAGTGCAAGTCCTGTCTCCTGCAGTGCACTTTTCTTCTCGTAATCAAGTTGAGCGACCACGCCAGGTAGCAGCTAAAGCGTGCAGGCTGCAGCGATGGCTTCACACCGTGTTGCAGACAAACAGCCCGCAGTTAATATCGGATTTGCAGTTCACCGGTGTGTTTTAAGGGATAGAGGCGACGCTCAGCACAGTCCGAGAAGCCTTCAATTCATTCGGTGCTGCCGTAGTGGTTTCCGTTGGAGGGGTTTTCCTGTAAACTGGTGTGCGATTGTTCTTCCTCCTGTGACACCACCGGCTCCACCGGCTGCGAAAAGAAACCGGCGACACAGAAGACCTGCGGAAAACAGAAATGAAATTTGAAGATGGATAAAAGCATTCTGGCACCAGTAAAGCAGAGCAGACTTATGTCTCCTGAAAGCAGCTCTGTGCGGAGTTCCTCATTTATGCCTACATTTAGAATATGGAATAGAATAGAATAGAATAGAGTAGAATATATTTAGCTGTTGTTGTACATGTACAACAGAACTGTATGGCAACCTATTTAAGTGCAAAACAGCAAAGTGCATCAAGTCAGAAAGAAAGAAAGAAAGAAAGAAAGAAAGAAAGAAAGAAAGAATCAATGCATAAATGAAGGAAGGAAGATAAGAAGGAAAGAATCAATAAATAAATGAAGGAGGGAAGATAAGAAAGAAAGAAAGAAAGAAAGAAAGAAAGAAAGAAAGAAAGAAAGAAAGAAAGAAAGAAAGAAAGAAAGAAAGAAAGAATACATAAATGAAGGACGGTAGGACGGAAGGAAGGAAGGCAGCTAAGAAGGAAAGAATCAATACCTAAATGAAGGATGGAAGGAAGGATGATAAGGAAGAAAGAAAGAAAGAAAGAAAGAAAGAAAGAAAGAAAGAAAGAAAGAAAGAAAGAAAGAATCAATACATAAATGAAGGATGGAAGAAAGGAAGGAAGGAAGGAAGCTAACTCAACAAAGATTATTGCCAAATAGAAGAAAATATTCTTTGACTTTTTCAATTTTACTGATTTTCTCGTGTCAGTCATTAGAAACTGTTTTTAAACTCTAGCCGTGATCAAAAGTTTTCCACAGATACCAAATACGTCTGGCTTCAATATGCAGACACCAACATGCAGGACGTCTGTTTTATTTGCATTTGAATGGTGAAACTATTAAAATATGAAATCTTGGTTTATATATAGCTTCATTAGACAGCTGGAATAATGCAGGAGACGGTGTCTAAGTCAGGGATTTATCCTCATTTAGCACATTAAAAATGCACGATGGTCCTGCTTCACTCTGACACGTCTTTAGATGAAACTCACAGTGAAAACAGCCACTAAGCCTCCCTGCAGGAGGCCGGCCAGCACATCGCTCCAGTGGTGTTTGTAGTCAGACACCCGGGACAGACCGACGTACACCGCGGTGGCAATCAGGAAGAACTGGATGGTGGGACGCAGAAGCCTCGACCACTCGGACTTCAGTCTGGCTTGAATGTAAAGCTGCAGCAGTCACAGGGAGAAAAGGAATGAATACTATGGACAAAGACAGCTGTAGGATCATAGATTATCAATATCTACAGTAGAGGTGCTGCTGAAAGGAGTCATGACGTTTATAAGAAGTGATTTTTTTTGACAATAACATGTAAAAGTTTGAAGTAAATTTGCCTGCATTGAGCTACCAACCCAGCTGTGCAAAGTAAAGCAAAAAAGCAAATATTTGAACTCAAATGAAAGCAAAAATTTGAGGTTTTGAAGAAGAAAATATGTACTTACGGCAAGGAACAGCATGCAGTACATAGAGAAGGACGAATGACCCGAGACGAAGGAGAGTCTAAGAAAGATGAAAAGATTCGGAGTGAAATTCAGCCTTTTTTCATAACAAACACACATTTTAAATTCACTAAGAAGGAACTGCAATATGGATTTATAGATGGATTAAACCTGAACTTAACCTGAGGATGTAACTTAAATGTTGGGTTTATCTTGGTTTGAGCTTTTAAACAGGAAAAATAAACTGGGGGCAGCTGGTGCACATTTTATAGTTAATTTAAGTGTACATAGCGTTTGGTCTGATTTTAATTTCTATCATGATTCAGTTAAAGGAAGTGAAATAAGTTTTCACAAGTGCATTTCCTTGATACCTGGATTCATCTATCATGAACTTGTCTCCGGTGCAGGTGTAGTTCTCGATGTATCCGCCGGCTTTGCAGTTGATGCGATCCCACGCCGGTTTGCATACGGCCAGGAAGTTTGGCCGCAGCCGACCGATGGAGTACTTGGCTATGTCAGTTAAGGACTGGTTGGCTGCAGCTCCGAACAGGTAACTCCCCACCGCTTTGTAGACGCACGAAACATACTTTGTCCCCGAAGACTGGTTCTTGATGCGGGACATGTAAACAGAAAGGCACTCGCCACAGATGACCTGAGACACAAGAGATCAAACAGAGATGTGAGAAAACAGCGGCATACTTTGAAACGAGTCCAGGATGGCGGACGAACCGGTCAGACTCGTTCCTGCGGTGACATTTAAATGTGAGGAGGAGACGACTGTTGACTCACTGCGATCAGCGTGAAGGGGATCATGACTCCTCCCAGGAGCTCGTGGGATATGGTTTCCTCTTTGAGGGGGTATCTGATGGAGTCGTCATTACAGTAGAAACCCCGCTTGAAAGGGTTGTGTTGAGAGGTGAGGATGAAGAATGGAAGCCCGACTGGAAAATAAAGAAAATGAGAGATGTCAGCTTCTTCAAAGATGGCAGCTTGTCTTTTATCTATCATGCCCTCCACCTCTGGCTCCGTCCAGTGGCAGGCTTTCTCCCCTTCTTCCTTTCCTCTTTCCCTATAGGTGGATGTTAGTTGAATCAGCTGATTACCTGAAGTGCTCTCACCTCTCAGGCTCTGCTCTGTTGTGTTCCAAAATCTGCTCTGTTGTGTTCCTGCTCCAGTTCTGACCCGTCCCCCTGCAACAACTCCTGGCCTGTGTCTCCGTTCCTTCACCACTACAACCTGACTCCATCTTGAACAAGCTCTTAGATCAATGTCCATCTGATCGTCTGCCTCACCACCAGCTTCTACCCCGTGTCTACCTGTCCATCAGCTCCAATCTCCCGCTGTGTCCTGTTAGTGTTGTTTGTTTTAGCTTTCTGTAGTGTAGACTGTCGGTAGTTTAGTCATTCCTGGTGTAATTGGTGCTACGTTTGTGTTTTAGTTACTTGTGTGTCTGTACTTAGTGGTTAAACTCTGATAGCGTTTAGTCCTCCTTGCCTGTTGGCGTCACCCACAAGTCCAGCCCCCGTTTCCTTAGACCCAGTTTTCGCTTCCTGTATTTTTATGCATATATCTGTAAATATCCATCCATCCATCATCTATACACCGCTTAATCCTCACTAGGGTCGTGGGGGGCTGGAGACTATCCTAGCTGACTCAGGACGAAGGCCACCTCTGGACAATTTAGAATCACCAATTAACCTCAGCATGTTTTAGGACCTTGTGGGAGGAAGAACACGGAGAGAACCCACGCTGCACGGGAGAACATGCAAACTCCACATAGAAAGATCCTGGGTGTCCTCACCAGGATGTGAACCAGCGACCTTTCAGCTGCAACGGTGCTAACCACCGCTCTACCTTGCAGCTATCTGTAATTTGCACTATTTAGTTAAGGTTTACTGTATATAGATTATATTTCTGATTGTAAATAAAAGTATTTCTCTGGAACTCCTGATCTGCTGAGACTTTTGTCCGCGCCTAAGGCCTCCTCACCTGACAATATCTTAAAATCACTGTACAAGCAGCTCCTATTTCTCAGACTAATGTTGCACAAAGCATGAAACGTCAGTCACAGGAAACGTCAGATCTTTTCGAGTGACGCAGGCCTTTCTAAATAAGAAGCTTTCGAAGTTTTCAGTTGTGGGTTTCCCCCCCGTGCTGCCACAAGGGCGTTACACAGTGATGAAATTAGACGCCTGAAACCTTCAATTACTGCAGAACAATACTGCAAAAACAAGTATGACGACACAGAGGCGCAGAGCAGCAACACACTCATGCATCTGGCATTTAAGTCGAGCTCGACAAACTAGAACAGCGAAGGTATGACTGTGCTGAAGAGACTCATCATGATGTTGTTATGCACTGGAAACATCAGCGGGTATCATAAAACATGCTCTGACTTGTTTTGGTCACATCTTCTTTATTCCTCAATCTGTTTTATCTGCAGCTTTTCTGGAGATTACACACTGGGAAAAAAAGGGCTGTTGGCTAAACTGAAGACAGTAATGCAGCACCAGGCATTCTTCCAAGTGCCATCGCTGGCCTCGATGCTTTCAGGCTAAATGAGTTATCACAGAGTCGCCGCAGGGCAAGTTACACCGACGGGTACCTTTTTGAAATTCTGATTAAAATAGAAACGGTTGCTCACGACATCAGGGGATTAGTCTGGTCTATTTATGTAGGAAATCTTTCACAATACTTCCAGATTTAATTGAGTTTGCACCTAAAGAGGACCTATAAGAAGCATAACCGCTGTTTGATTTACTCTTTCTGCCAGTGCACATTTGGTTTTTGATGACTATTTGTTCTCTGTCTTAGTGCCTTCACATCCTCTGTACGTTGCACTCGTGTCAACTGTTGTGCAATCTATGGTCGAAATATAAAACCACCGTTTGACCAAAAGCTGAAGAAATCCAACAGAAACGTGACGACGCTGGTTTATGAAACCAGGTTTGGGTAAAAAGCCACAAAGATGGGTTGTTATGTAAAAGCTTGTCTCTGTGGAAATTTGTTAAGAAGTGATTTAAATGTTTTATCAGTTAAAACCGTAAACATGTAAAGTGAAACCTTAGTGGAGAATACCAGGAAGCTTACATCTAACTTGTCTGTGGTGCTTCAAACAACCTTTATCGAGACTGAGACGAGCGAACAAACAACTGATCATATTTCCAGAAAAGCAAACTAGATGCAAACATCATTGAAGAAATATGTAAACGAGAGGAAAATATGCATATTAGAGCAATGAGGAAAAGGCCTCGTTGAGATTATTAACCACAGTTACTCATCATGTTTTCTATTTGGACCTTAGCTGAGTAATACTTTTGATGGGATACTTTATGCTCCCTTTTTTTGCATTCTTAAGAGAAATGTTGAACTTTAACTCCTAACTTTTACTAGAAAGCTGTAATTACTTTAATATAAATGTAAACATACAGATATTAAAGTCCACTTCAAACCAATACAACAGTAAACTGCTGCTCATGTATTGATGCCTCAGTAATAATGATCCAATAATACTTTTTTCCATGGGTATGTTTGATTCTTTACTAAAGTAATCAGCACTTTTACTTGTAATAGAGGGTTTTTACAAAGATGTATGTTTACTAAGAGGCTATAGTTTCTCATAAACTCATTTGTGCAGATGAACAAGGAAATCAGGAAACTGATGCCAGCTCCACCACAACATGCCTGATGCGTCAGCAACACATTCCACCACAAAACAGTGACTAAGCAGCGATTAATCAGAGTCAAAAAAAAGATTTCTGGACCTTTTCTTATCTAACATGGCAACTATCCAATTGCTAGTTTCTCTAAATGTGTGATATAAAAGCTCTTTTCTTGCAGGATCACTGCGGCGTGCCTCTGTGCTGCGATTACATTCCAAACAGTGAGCTAAAAATACAGCTTTGAAAAAAAAAAAAGCGCACAGGGTGGGACTTTGTTGCTCCTTTTTCCATCTTCCTGCTTGGTTCCCTAAAACCCTCAAACCTCCCTATTTTACGAGCAGATCCCTTGAATCCATTTGCTTTAACTTTGCCCTACGTGGTTTTTTATTAAATCCTGCCTCATGCCACAGAAACCCAAAGAGCCGTGATACACAGACGGATTAGAAAGTGCGCTGAGGTGAGGATTTACGCACCGAGGATAACGCAGGTAATGTCCAGCAGGATGAGCGGGATCGCCGAGGCTTCGAACATGTTGCGTCTCCTTCTCCTTCTTCCTCCTCCTCTGGTGTCTGTCTTGGTAAAAAATATCCCGTCCCGGCTGCTCTGACTTTTAGGAGCGACCAGCCGCAGCCGTTCTGCCGCGCATGTCTCGCTGCTATTCCAGTAAAAAAAAAAAAAATCCAAACACACCAGTGAGCGTCCCAGCAAATAAGTCTACCAAAAATCTAAAATAAAAAATAAAATGATAATAAGAGCCTAATCTAGGTCAAAAACACTCAACTAAAGGCTAAATCTAATCTAAAACACCACCACACATGTGAAGAGCGTCTCACCCGGTCGACTGCTCACAAACCATCATAACTCAGCGGGTTTTCTTCAGCTCATAATACCGTCCGTCCTCTCAGGAGACAACACCGGGACACCAGCGCTCCTCTCCCGTTGTGATTAATGCCGCCTTCACGGACAGCCCGGAAAAAAGGGAAACCTGGCAACCTCGCTGACGCTGTGAACCTGATCCCTTCACTTTGTCAGAAACCCATTATTAATTATAATGTAGGGTCAAGTCAGGATGCTTTTTATTTAACATTACTATTCAGTTTTGTCGTGTAATTTTGAGGGATTTTAATATTTTTCAAGTTCACTAAATTTAATCAAGTAAATTCGTATTTTTAATTTTAACTTTGCTATGTGATTTATTCAGGTAAATTTGCAATAATCTGGAGTCTTAAC